AAAAAAAAAAAAAAAAAAAAAAAAAAAAAAATTGGTTTTTGCTCAACCATTACAACGACCGTGTTAAGCAGAAGCCCAAATGTACATGCATCAGCAATAAAAAGCTCTTTTTTAAAAATAACTAAAAAGTGACTATATATTAAAGAACAACACTCATTTGTTGCAATTCGTCCATATGAAAAGGCAACGAAGAATAACCCTCGTTGTAAGTGCCTTCTTGAGCCACGTGAAATACCCTCTCAAACAAAATATACATAATTCTAAAATACTTAATTTGAAAAAAAGACCATCTCAAGAGCAATAATAGGTTCCTAAAAAAAATTAGACGAATAACTAGCAGTAAATTGTAGAAAAACTATCTTATGCAGCTTCAATATAAAGCCGAATTGTTTTACTGCCAACAGATTAATGCCGCCACCAGTAAACATAAAAAAACTTCCAATAGCATCTAAATTTTCAAAAACACTCTTACTAACTGAAACAAATTGAGACAAACATGTTCAGCATACAGTCTTCGATAAAAAAATTTAAAACTTGAATAAAACCAACTTTTCAAGGGAATAAAAATTGACACAGTAACTTCATCAGTTATTGCTAGCAACTTACAACAAATAAAACACACATCAATTGCAAACCTCACATATTTCATTTATGCTGTTTTTTCACCAGTAATGAAGAGATCGAGTTGGTTGGTGAGATCCTTGTTAGCGCGTTTCAGTCGTTTTATTTCACTTCTAAAAACAGTAACACAGTAGGAAACATGCGACAAGACAAATACTAGTCAAAAAACACGCTTTTTGGTGATGCTTCTGAAATTTCTTAAACTTCACCCATTAATACCGCTTGACTTCGAATTACAAAGTCAAAAAACAATTTCTCAAAAATGAATTAGTAACAGAGGTAGACTGCAGTAAAAAACAAAAGCCAAATTTTTGTTAAATATGTTTTGAAGACTGTAATATTGCATAAATCCCGAAAATTTTACCACCTCTGGTTTATCTAACAAATACCGCATGTACTTACAGAAAATTAATCAGTGATTCCGGGTAGCAAAGATCACTAAAAACTACAAAACAGTTCAAATAAGATTAAATAAACGCGCAACAATTACAAAATCTTTTTTCAAAAAGTATATCATACAGAAATGTTCTTTCTGCAATACACTGAACTTTTGGATGATCACTTCACTGCAAAAAAAAACTAAACAAGAAAAACTGCAACAAACATGTAAAATTTCTCGCCTCCAACGCGTCAAGAAAGTTTTTAACTGTGTGTTAGGAATATTTCAGTCTCACAGGAATAAAATATTTACATAGCACTTGTTGTATAAAAAATGATCAAAATATGATTAAAACATGGAAAATTCTGTAGCTTTTCAATTTTCCGTCCTATTAGTGCCAAACCCAATAAAAAAAGTTATAGTTTCAGTGTACTAGAGAAAACATTTTTTCTGATTAGAAAATATAGTGCTACTATTTTAAGTGAAACTGTTCCACATTTTCTCATTCTAGTTCATAGCGATTCTATTAATATAAACTATTAATCATTACTCTGTAAATTTTGTGAGCAGCTTATTGAATAAAACAAATTTTTTGTGAAAGTCCGACGAGTTTCAAAAGAACCACAACCGTAATTAAATGGCTGTGCAATGCAAAAAATTTTATTTCTTTCTGCGATTTAGCACGGTAAAAAACAAATAAAAACGCTCTTTTTAAAATTTCTGATTTCACAACCTAGAACCAAGCTGTACTACTCAGGAAGAGTTCAAAGAATTGAAATACTAGACGCAGAAAGCATATGAGACAACCCAGAACCTCTCACATAAATGAAAAACACATTAAGCTCATGAAAAATAAATCCTTGAAAACTTCCCACCTTTTTGACTAGTAATGCACTTATAATTTAAAACACTTACTTAGATGCTTTTCGCTCTTCACGAAGACGATTCGCCAGCAATTCACACTCTTCCTTGAGAGTAGCAATCAAATTTTGTTGGTCTTGCAAAAGACTGTTGATATCTGCAAAAAGCTACGGCGTGGTAACCAAGACTTGCTGTGATTCGAAATATCAACTTTGCCGAAAAAAATTTATCTGTAACTAAGCAAAAGACATAAAATTTTTGAACTGAAACTCCACCTCCGTCAAAACGAGAATTTTTAGAAGATGCCAGAGAAGAACGGAGCACAGTATTCTCCTGCATAAGCACAGTGATTCGCCGATTCAACATTATAATTTCTCGCTTTCTAGCAGCAGTCTCGGCACTTAAACGTTCAGAATACTCGTTCAAAACAGAATTCTTTTCACTTTCAATCTTCTTCATTGCTTCAAGATTACCCTGTAACATGAATCTAAAATAGAAGCAACAATTCCATTTCTTCTCATTACAATAAAACCTAAACTCTACGACAAAAAACTAAACCACACCTTACTACAAAGTTTGAACTACAACTTACAGTTGTCATCGAAAGCTTTTCTTTCAAGCTATCTACTTCAACTCTCGCCTCTGAAACGTCATTCGTTAAACGCGAAATCTCTCGGTCAGCCCGTTCCCGCTCCTCATTTAAAAGTTGGTTAAGGCGGTCAATATGCGTCTGCAACCTCGAAATAAAAAGCTAGTAAACAAGATATTAGGACTAGATAAAAAATAGTCCTCCTTCAAATATTTTGGTCTCACCTGCTTCAAAGATGAGGAATCTCTTTCCAAAGCTAACTCACACCTACAGGAGTCTAAATCCTTCGATAAAGTTTCATTAGCTACTCTGCAACTTTTCAAATCCAGGAGCGCTTTTTCCAAAGCCGAAAATTTTTTGACAACTTCGCTATGAGTACCACTTCCGCCTTCCTCCGTATCACACTGCGGCAACTCATGCGAACAGTGCTGCAATGACTCAGGATTTATAAAAAAGCTGACAAAAAAATCTATTTTAAAAACAATTAAACATTGATAAAAATCAAAAAATTGTGCAGGAAATTACGTCAATATTCTATACCGAAACTCCGGAGAAAAAAATAAACGAAATAACCTGTCCACAGTGAACGCAACAATCTTTCTGTCGTCTTACAGAAGCGCCTGATTCTCCCTCCTGCTGCTTGTAAAGTTGTTTTATAGATTGAAGTGAAGAAATTTCAGTTTTACAAAGGTAGAGTTCCTCCAGCAGCAGAGACAGTACGCCATCCTGCTTTTCTAGCAAGGTGAAAAGTTCACTACTGTCAGGCAACTTTGGCCCTAAAAATCAAAGAATCCTCAAATGAGGCAAAAAAAAACACCATATTATGAAATATAGGTGCGAAGACAATTTAACAACAAAAAACAAATCCAGAAATATGCAAAGGATTGTGCCCAAAATACAATACTCGTTTGAAATGTGAGCTGTGTGTAGCAGCTTTATTTTATCAACAGTGCAGTGCAAGAATCCAGCACAAAAGCGGACCAAACCTTCTGTAGCTGCTGATTCCATCACTGTTAGAAATACTTTCACGAAAACCTAAACCTCTTCAGGTAACTAAAACTTCAACTAAATGGAATATTTGGAAATATTTATAATAGCCGTATGCAAAAACAGAAAATGAAATCTGGATGGTGGAAATAATTAATACATAAAACCTTCTGCGAACCAGTTAATTATTAATTACCGAAAAATAACGGATCGCCAACAGTTTTCTTGAAACACTGACATAACAAAAAACATCTTTATTCAATTCCCAAACTCAATATCACAATCGTAAAACAACATACGCGTTTATGCAGTCAGTAACGGTTAATCAGTAACCTTTCAATGTTGGCAAAAATACATAACTATGAACAAACAAACTGAAAAATAAAAATTGCATATTCCGCTCCATGCGCGAAAAAGTTCTGGAGAGAACTGATTTCAAAATTAATTTAAAATATCAAACTATCACAAAATCCAACAACACTGATGTTCAAATATAATAAATATATAAAGATTTTTCCATAAAAAACTATTTTGCTTCCTCCAAACTCACAAATTCATTCAAAAAGAAAAAAAAAATTAACGAAAGTGAATAAGTTATAAGTAGCCGACTTTTTCATAATATTTTTTCAAACAGCTGTATCAAGACGCTTTTTCATTCGTAAAGATCAGTTCGAAGTATTCTTCAATTGTAAAAGGATGGAACGAAAACGAGAAAGATCAGCGACATTTTTGGAATTTTTAGTGCTAAACTCACATAGCTTCGCTATTCGATCCCAATCTGCACCACCCTCACCTTTGTCTCTATCAGCAATAAACTCCTCTTCGGCCTTCCTAGAATAATCAATGTGATGCAGTAACATAAGGAAGATAAAGATGAAATAAATGAAAAAAACCTAAACGAATTATCACCTATTGGCGATTTTCGTTTTTTCTAGTTGTTCCTGACGATTCGCATACCACTGATCTAATTCTTTTTTAGCAGCTCCCCGGAGCTCTTCTTTCTTCTTTTCCTCCTGTTCATCTTAAATATTTGAAATTTAAAAAAAAAAAGTCCAATGTGCTATCAAAGCGAGAAAAATTAGAACAAGATAACAAGAGTACCCTATCCTCTGTCAAGAACGTGGAATACCCAGTACTTTTATCTTTCTGTACAAAAAAAAAAAACAAAGTTTTTGTTAAAAAATTTTTTTACAACTTAAACTCTTTTCACACTATCTAACAGAAAACTACTTAATTTAATAATGCATCGAACAGCAGGAAAAACTCCAAAAATCATACCCTTTTCTTCAAGCATCTTTTTCTGCTCTTCCCGCCATTTTCTAATTTTTTCGGGCTCGATTTTTGGCACTGTAGGCTGCTGTAATGGGACTGGAGATGGCGTGTTATTTGCAGATGACCGCAGATTCGTAGCTAAAGGGGCCTGCTGTTGATCCAGAGCTGGGAGGTCTACACCCGAATCAACTCCATTTACTGAATTAACATTTTCAAAACCAAGATCTAAAAGTAAGAGAGTTTAGTATGCAATAAAAACAAAATAACATTAATCTTAGTACCTTCATCCCCTGCCGCAACATTGGTGTCATTCTCAATCCCAACTGGAGCTCCCTCAATGTCAGCTAAAACGTTTTGCTCACGAGCCAGAAAGTCTGTAACTGGGTCCGACATAGGAGCTGAAAAAGAACAGCTGATAAACATTTTTTTCTGCTACAAGTTGAATTGCCCTTGTAAAATAATACAGCACTCGCACAAAACCCTGGTATCGAATATCACGCAAACAATTTTCATGCATGTGGGACCTTAACAATTTTTGCATTGTTTCTTTACCCTGGAACTATTAGTCGATCTTTCACCACTGCAAGAGTAGCATGCTTAAATCTTCTGTCTGTATCTCCCTAAAATATTAAGCGCATATACATAATTTAATTTATCGGTCAGATCTTCGCTCATAAATTAACCATTCCTTTGCTTCTAACAAACCCTTTACACTGATTTAGCGCTCCATGCTGCTTCAAAAAATCACGAAAATGCAAATCTATTGCGAATTCAAAAGAAAAATGGCTGGAAATCAAACTTCAAAACATCCCTCATCAGTAAACCAATGAGCTTTTTAATCCCACATTTCCTAAAGTTGCAAGGTTCTAAAAGATCAAAATGCGACATGTATTTCCAAAACCTTAAAAATTTTGAATCCGAATAGCTCTCCTTTCTGAAGTGACTTTTCAGTCTATTGCAAAGCATTGCTTCCTATCCAACAGTTAACACTGTAAAAAATTATTACCATGTGGCTAATTTCAATAAACAAAAAGATTCTGATACACCGTTTAGCACTCTCCGCCCGTAACAGAGCTTTTTTAAACAACAAGGTATCATCAAAATTGTTATTCAAAAAAATCTTCTTCCACCTTTCATAACCGTACGCACTCTTCTACGCCTAAATGCTCTTTTTTATATAAACACGTGAAAACCACATCAGTGCTTTAGGAAGCAACTTGGATGGTAGAACAGAGGATTTAAAATGTCAACTTCGGGTTAACCAGCCAGCATAAACCTGTAGAGAATTACCAAACTAGAGCCATCATTGATAAATACTAAGAGATATGTAAACACCCTTCAGTTCTGGAATCCTGAATGTGAACATGTGAGATACGCTCGTTTAATGTCGATATTGTTGAACCTCTATCACATTAAGTTTTACTAAACAATAAATACTTCCCTGCATTATTGATGTAAGCAAAAAGTGGCGAATTCTCAGTAAAAAAAATGTGCACTTCTTTTCCAATTGTTCCACGAATTAAAAAGTTTTAACGAATTTTTCCATACTGTTTCAACGACACTTATTTCACAAGAATTTTAAAACACCCAAATAAAGGAGAGAAACCATTTAAGCAAAAAACTGTACAATACGTCAAATGAGACTACTAAACCACTTCTCAGCATACATAGGCACTTGTCTATACTTCTGAATGCCCTAGGCAGAAAACTGTTTGGTCATTTTAGAAAATGAATAAAAAGCTACCCTTCCGGATAAAATGGCTCATAATGAATGTAGCAAAACTTAAATTTTCTAGAGCTTCAACTTTTAAATCAATTTTTATTATATCATACGACTTGTCGGTGTCAGTTTAATAAAAATCCTAAAAGAAGAAGAAAGAAGGAAAATTAATTGCCGTTTATTTCGACAGCCTCATTAAAACATTTTGTACGAAGAAACTTCAAGCAAAAACAAAATTATCCTCATCCCAAACCTTGCAGGAGGGTAAAAGACAACCAGTCTTCTCGGATAGTTCCAGCAGTATTGAGTATTGAAAAGCTTCACTCTCACAGTTCTCAAAAAAAAATCTATATCACATCCATCATAAACAATATCGCAGCAAACACAACCAGTATTTTAAAGTGCATAAAATTTAAACTCAATTGAAGTCAACATTATCCCACAGAACTGTTTAATAATAATCGAAAATACTAATACTTAACTGTATCAGTGGTTATATTCAGAGTTTCGGGTGCTGAAAATTATGTAGCTCTAAAGCGTGAACAAAAATAAACGTTAATGATGGAAACAACGCCGAACTGTTTATTCAATAATAAGCCAAAACACCAATTTTGACCATAGAATTTGCAGCGCAACCACGCGTCCTCAACAAAATGTGATTTCACTTCGATGAACCTAGAGCAAAATTTGGTTTTGGCAAAATACCAGGATTCAGACAATTGCTCAGAGATTTAACAAACTGTAACTTGCAGCCTATCAACTGAGCAGATGGTTGCGCCAAAGAAAAAAAAAAGGGGAAGCGATATACATAATCAAAATTTTTGCGGCAGCATTTATCCAATAAAAACGGATTGCATAAAAGAAAAAAATTCTTCATTCTTTTCGTGGATAAAAAAATACTTTTTTAATTCGCAAGCATACCTCTACTATTTACTATATGAATATATATATTAATACAGCATATATGAATACAAATCAGTATTTCTCATAACAGTGTAAAAAATCGGCGCCAGTTTTCAATATTCGGACCAGACTAGCAAATAATTCAAATAAATTATCCTCATCCAGCTGTTTCAGTTGTTTTCGGCTTTTAAGTTAGATCATTTTCAAGTTTTAGTCTAGTACGACTACAGTACCCAATATGTACCGTACAGTACAGCTCAAAAATACTTGTTCCGTGTGCTCATAAAGGCTCAATCCAAATGCAACTTTCTTTTTTCTCTTTTCTTTTTCCTTTTTTTTTTCGTTAGCGCTCAGCAGATTTGCAGCAAATTTGCCATCATTCAAAAAGCGATAGCTCTAGCTGCATTACCCAACAGCTGGTTATGGAATCAAAAATCAAAAACCCTTCAACAATGGACCAGCTCTCCAGCTTTTGGACATCTAATAACATCGCCTACAACTGCAAAATCTTCCAACCATGTAGTAAATACATTTTACTGGTTCAGTTAACAAAGCTGAGAAAAGGCACAGGAAACTTTTGGTTGCTAGAGATAATAAATTTGCGTTGCCATTCGTAATCTTTTAAGAAATGATCCATTAGCAGACCCATCACGTCGAGCAACATTATTTACGGTTAATACTTAAGTCAAAAAGAGCCTAAGGACCTTAGATGCTGTTCTTTTCAAAGCCAGAAAAAATATTTCATCTTTATGGCCTTACGAGTGGGTAAAATACCAAGTGCTAACAATTATAAACTTTGAGGCATAAAAGGGCATGCTGAAGCAGTCGTGAAGTCAGATTCAACTTTGAAGTCAGGTTATTTAATTAGTCCTTTAAAGCGTGGGCCGATTTATTTTGAACTGAAACCGAAGGTTTCTTAAAAATTATACATGTTAAAACTAAAAAAGCCTAACGCATTAAGCTGCTTATAAAGCTGTACCCGTAAGCGAAAATGAAATTTATCATGCAGTGGTGAATTAGGCTTGTTATTTCAACAACTCCTTGGTGTCATCGTTATCTGGTGGTCCCATTTTCCATATAAGTTTTGCAGAACTTCT